GGGTGCCCTCGGTGCGTCGGGTCGCACGGGCACCCACCCCAGCCACGCACCCTACAAGTCTGCTGCCTTCTGCCTTCCACCGCAGCGTCACCCCGGCCTCCATCTCCCTCCGCCCCCCAAGTTATCATCAGGAAAAGTCGCAGTAGCCAAAGCAAACGCAATGTGGGGTTTTGCTCTTCCTACACCTGAACATGGTCAAGAATCCGCTTCCTCTCCCCGTCCGTCCGGCAGAGGATCAGGCAGGGAAGGCCTCGGAAAAGATGGGATTTACAGCGGCTCTGTAGATCATTGTTAAGTTGTGAAAACAAAAATTTAAACATGACATGTTCTGGGTCAGCAGTCCTTAAACCCTTTATGTTAGAAATCTCTTAATGGCCACCGAGCCCCCTGAGAGGCAAACATTTAACACCTGGTTTTCCCCTGGAGTGGGAGATTGGGGGTTGTACATATGGACCCCCCCAGAAAAATTGCCACCCGGTCCTCACCTAGGATCTCAAGTGGTTGGCACAGGTATGTATGTATCTAATTCACCCAGGCCACCTGCTCTCCACCAACTTTCATAGAGATCCCATGGTGCAAAGTGCAACCACACAAGGTCAGAACAACTTGTAAATCCTTGAAATGCAAAATAACTGTTGGCTTCTAGATACTGAGTATACAGCATATGTTCCCACTCTCCAAGAGAACTGAGGCTTCACCACTTGTCCTCACATCATCCCTCCCTAACAGCCTGGTGTAATACCTGTAGGACATGCAGGCTGGAGGTGCCAAACCGTCTTCCTGCCTACTCCCCCAACAACCCAGTACCCATCCACACACACACACACACACACACACAGCCTCTGGCCTGAATTACACAGTGGGAGGAGACAGGAATTGGGCTGAGTCTATCACCATTTGCTCATATCCGTAAAATAAGGGTAACACCAATCACACAGGACCCCAAATGGGTTTACTACCACATCTTGCTACTTTATGAACTATATCAGATTACACTTTGAATTCACTGAGATGTGCCGACAACAAGTTAAAGGCAGTACAGATCCCAGCCTAGAATTTAAGCCAAAGTCTGAGAGAGACAGTGAGAGAGAGACAGAGAGAGAGATGCCTTGTTTCTCTCCATTTAAATGGGGGAATGGTCTGACCAAACAGCTACTGTTCAAAACATGAAAATCAATTAAACTGGGCACATGTAGATCAATGGAATCAAATGCCCAAAGTTGGAAAATGGCTAGCTGAAGGGTTATTGATTGTTCTTATAAACATCTTTCCTAGCTCTTTTATAGGTTATGGTTAAAGTGTGGATTTTCCAATATGGAAAAGGAGATGTGAACAAGCACAGGAGTTCTCATACACAATGGGTAAAACACACCTGGTTCTTCAACCACCTGACGAAATTTTTTAAATTGGCTTCAGAGGCTAAGTGATTAATTTTGATAGAAAACTGGGCTGTTGAAAGATAAGGCTGAACATCTTTCAACCTCTAAAAGATGACTCTTGATAAATAGCATTTTACAATTATCAGAATCTTTTTACCACGCATTTTCAAAGAAGCCACAGTGAATAACACATTAGTCTGAGATTTACACTATATTCAACACTAGGCAGCATCTATTGTAATATGTTCAGAACTTGATTGAAAAAGAAATGTAAACTCAGTGGAATGAAAAAGATAGACTTGGCTTTAATTGAAAAAGACAAACTAAGTGAATAATGAGTATATAAAACCTAGCCTATGCCATTTTTATCACCCATATATGACACTTAATCTTAAATTTATGAGAGGCAACTGAACTGTGTTTCAAATCACCAGAGGCTTTTCCTACTGTGTTGTTTCTACCTTTTTTCCTAGTCATACTTCAATGCTAGTAACAGTAGAGATATACTCATCTGGAAAGTTCTCATATTCTACTCATTTTTTAGTACTGAAAGAATCCTCTTTTTAAAGCAAACAAATGATCAATATGGATTGAGTCCCTTTAAAAATTGTACATAGTATCAAGTGCCTAGTTTAGTAATAATCTTAGATGGAAACACTTCCGATGAAATCCAAGCCAAAAGATCCTATCTCAAGAAAAAGTAGGACATTGTATGCATAAGACAAGATAGGTAAATAATTTCCTGACACCATATCTTTAATGTACCTATATTATATGACCTATACAAAAAACTATAAACATCTACTCCCTTGATTCACAAATACATATTTCTGTTTATAGAAGTGAACAGCTTACGGGTGACATAGGCTGATTCCTTTTTGAGACTAAATGTTCTCCTATCAACTTTATGCTGATTAGTTATTGCTGCCAAAATGAGGCAACCTTGTTGATCTGTAGAATGATCCAAGTGCTACAAGAACTAGGTGACTATTGGTGACTCAGTAGGTGGCACTCTTCCCTTTATATACTCAGCAATGCCCCAGGAGGAAGTTACAGTACACTAGATACATCACAAATAATCCTCATAGGAAAAATAAAACCAAAATGTTGACCAAATTGTAAATGAAACTTTGGAAAGGTGAAAATCAAACTGTACTATATTCAGCATTGAAAAAATGTGGCCCTTATTTCAACTGAATTGCATTCTTTACCTAGTGCCCCTAAAGGGGTTATCGATTATAACATGTGAAGGTTAAAAATAAATATTCTGCAAATCCTCAATAGGAGAAAAATACAATAATTCTAATCAACATTGCCATGTGAACCGAATCTCAAGGTCACTTTGCAGAAACCAGGTAACCACTTCATTTACTATTTGTTGGGCTTGGTTCAGAGCACTGAGAAATACTACTTTCTTCTTCTAATACTGTTTTCATTTTCTAATTTAATAAAAAGAAAACAATATCCTCTTACAGCTTTAACATTTGTTGTGCTAAAATGAATGAATGACAATGAATTAGAATATCTGATTGCAAGCAGTTAACAAGCCAGTAAAGGGTAATCAAACAAATTAAGGCAGGTAGAGGACAATGGTTCTAGTTCTCTCCAACTTTCTTGCCTATCTGGAGGGAAAAACTCACATAAACTAAGACTGTTCTTGCAGTTTGTCCTAGACAAAACATATGAATAAGAAGATCAAATGGACAAGATTTGGGATTTTCTTTTGACTTTTACTATCCAGGTTAAACCAGTTTTTCCATTGCTTGGAGGAAATAAACAAAAATATCAAGTGTTGCCTGTAATACATATGGCATTCAAAATTTGCTTTACCAACAAAATTCTGTAAATCTTTTTCTATTTATGATACTGAAAGAATAACTCAACACTTTTTAATACAAATATAGGCCCTTAAGATTTAATGTACTGAATCTATAGAAACTATATAGCTACTATTTCAAGGACATCATTAAATGTGAGTTAAGAATTATAAGGTCTTTTTTTGCACTTCCTTAGAGAGTTTTCAAAATAAGGAAGAATGCGAGGGGCAATGCTGAAAAGTCAACCTAAAACTGCCACAATCAGAAAGAAAAATTATAATGAGAATACATTTGAGCACTTACTCCTATCAAACAGTTGAAATGTCTGTTAAACATTTCATTAAATATTCCCTATAATGCTGTGTGTCACATATAATGATTTGCATAACAGGCAAATAGAACACACAGAGAAATGTCTAAGCATCATTATTTTGACAGCCATTGGCTTTTGACTTTAGATTGTTTTTTCTTGAAAGCAAAGGACCGTAAGCTCCTTAAAGTTTTAGTTCCTTATCTTCTCTACCTCAGAGTTCCAACACAGAGCCTTGCACTCTCAGCGCACTCCACGGGTAACTACAACCACCACTCTCAGTATTTCCTTCTTGGTTTCAATGTGCTAGGCAGACCAGCAATATCCCCAAAATTCACGTTGTGGTTTTACAATTCTAAATCTAATCATGCACTATTACCCAATACTTTTGAAGGATGAAAATTATCATACACAATCCCGACAATATTTTTTTGGATAAAACATGTGAAATAACTGCTATGAGCATCTATCCATGCATCCTTTTGTACCTCAAAAAATTTTTAATTACCATCAAACATAAAATGTTAACAATTTGCTTTGAATAAATAAAAAACACTTGAAAAACACTGGCTAACATTTATAAATGTATGTATGACCCCCAACTCACATCCATACTTCTTGAAAGTAGCCTCTGAAAATTAAGTGTAGCCCCAATTTATAACCCCCAAAGTGTTAATGTTTTACTATTTGGTTTTAATACTTTTTGAATGTTAATAAGGAATTTGCTTTATTAATATGAAATATTGAAAATGTCAGTAAAATGTCTTTTTAAAAAGCTGATTTCAGACATTATACTTGTATATTATCTGACTCAAGTGAGAAGACAAGTTTATAGGAAGTAAGCATTGGTAGGTAAACATGTAACTGAGAGCTTTTTAATCGCACACATGGGGCCACCTGAAGTACCTGTGATCTATGGGAATCAGAGCAAAGGTCTCCTAACCACATTTCACACTACCTGGGAATGTATGATTAGGGGCCCAAATGGCACACTGACTGCTGTGGGAGCTGTGAGGTGAGGTTTTAAAAACTGCAACCATAGCCTGCATTTTATTTCTTAAGTTCAAATCTACGCACCTGGAATATCCTGAAAATGGTGATATTTATTTTTGGAATAATGATGAACACTTCTCTAGCCAGGTTTTTAAAACACTATCCTAAACAAACAATTTCAGAGTTGTGTAACATTAAAAATGTTAACTGCAGTAAAGCAAAGCTAGCAGTGAAACTTCCCTTGAATGGAGTAAAAACTGCCTTAAATCAATCTTCACAGTGTTTTCAATTTCCCTTAGGGGTACCCATTAATGACAAGCATTTCTTAGGGGGAAGGAGTATCCCACCACAAATGCATTCATCACACTGTATCGTGGTCATAAAACCTAAGTCTGCATTCAGACACTTAATATTTTTAAAATTCTATTTATGACGCTAACTACCAAAATAGTCTAACAGCCTATCAGGAGATTTGGTCTCACACAACGATGGCAGGCACTTACTGCTTCCAAAGTTATATTTTAGATGATTTTGGTTTTTCAAGAGTTAAGATAAGCAGGCTGTGACACAGGCATTTAAGAGAAACTCTTGTAAGCCACTTAATTTGAAAGATAGGTGTTTTAGAGGCAGGTGGAGTAAAAAAACGATCCATTGAGTTTCCAGAATCCTGAGATATACAACACAAAAGAAACGATGGCAAGAATTCCAGGGCTTCGGGACAGACGTGTTCCCCCCTAACAAGCGCAGCGGCACGCCGTCGCCCCGCCGCGAGAGGACGCAGAGCCCACGGCCAGCATCCCCCCGGGCCACACCTCTCAGCCTCAGACAAGTTCCCGTAAGTGGCCGTGCAGAACTGGAAAGGGGAAGACGCGGGTGCGAAGCCGGGCACTCCGCGCGACACAGGAAGCTGGACCGCGCACACAGCCTTCCTGTTTCGCTGCGGTGTGTCCCTGGGGCTGAAGACAAGTGGCCATCTGAGGACCAGGCCCCGCGCCACAGTGTTCGGGGTGCGTGGGGGGTGGGGGGCTCAACGTCCAGGAAAGCAGGGATCTGGGAAATAACCAACTTCCCCATCCCCTAACCCCAAACACCTGTGGCGCCGGCGTCGGCCTGCACCCCTACCCCTCCGCCTCGGCTGGCGCGGCCTTCCGCCCCCTCCCCAGGGCTCGCACGGGCATTCATTCACCATCATTCTCTCACGAACACGCACACAGAACCGTGCTAATCTCGTCAGTGTTGCTGATCCCGCATCGGCTCTCCTCACACGCTCCCCGCCTCCCGGTCCCGGTCCCGCCCCCGCCGGCCAGAAGACGCGGGAGCCGCGAGGAGGGGAGGATGCTGAACGCTTCTGTCCCCGCCGGCTCGCCGTCCCTCGCCCCCGCCCCGGCGGCGTGCCCGCCCCCTTCCCGCGCGTTACCTGCCAACAGGTTCCTAATCTCCTCAGGGAGGGGGTAGGGAGAGGCGGTGCTGCCGGGGTTGGGCATGTCAGGGAGCGCGGGGCGTGAGGGGAGAGGATCTGTGCTGACAGGGGGACTGAGGGGCTGCGATCTAGGCTCGGGCTGGCAGTCCCGGTAGGGACAGCGGAGTTACCAGACCGGACTCTGCCAAGGCCTGGGCTCACAACAAGGAAGTCACTGACTCTCCAGCCAGCGGCGGCTGGACTCTCGGCCCGGCCCCGCCCGGAAGATCGGGGCGGGGCGATGGGCGGGGGAAGAGGCGCGCCGGGCCCGCGGGATCCAACTGCGCATGTGTGTCCGGGGGTTTTCCTGGCCTGGAAAGAAAGCGCCTCTGGACAAGCCACGCCCACCGCTACTCTGGGAAGCGGGAGGAGGAGCGGCTGGTGGGAAGGGGGCGGGGTGGGTCTGAGTCACCTGATCTGGCGTCTGAAGCGCCTGGTCACCATTTTGGGTTCTGGCACCACCGTTTCTGCAGGATTGTAGAAAATAATGTATCCGTGTTGCTTGGAAGATTTCCGATGTTCTTGAAATGGCCAGCCCCGCTGAGGTTCAACACCTGTCCCGGTAACACACAGGGAGTTTCCAGCCGTCCTAAATGATCGTGCCCTCCTTTGTCTTGTTGAGTGAAGGTAACCGAGACCCAGCTTCCGCCAGTCGACCCTGAGACGCCAGTCCAGAGCTACTTTGGAAAGCGTTCTGATTGGCTCTTCCGTTACTTTTCTCCCTAATTCCTATTCTTGGAGTGACTGATTTCTCCCACTACGAAAGAAGAATGGGTAATTCGAGGCACTATCCTTTGAGGGCAGAGGAAAAAAGCAGAAAAACACAGATACACTGTTAATCTGCAGGTATCCAAAAAATCGCTATGGTGATGAGTGAAATAAAATTATACAGTTGGCTCACTCGAACTTGACCATATAATCAACACTATCTTTGATTTCTAAATGTTCTTGAAGGTTTTTTGGCTCCTTTAATAGTGTGCCTCTCAACAATTGAAATCACTGAAACCCTAGTTAGCGCTTAACCATATTTGTCATCAAGTTAAATGAATACATTGGAGCCACCGAAGAGAGTAGAGACTCATAGAGGAAGTCTTAAAAGCTTTCAGTGAGTGTCCATTGTGTATTTCTCTTACTAAAAATATGCTTGGACACTGCTCGCTGGGATGCCCCCAAGAGCACATCCAGTCTCTACTGGACAAAACCTGCCACAGAAGTGGCAGCTCGTCTACTTCAGCCTTTACCTGCATTCCCCTTGGTGGAGACAACAGCTCTTTCCTAGGTGCTGCTGCGATGTTTTGAACATTGTATCACGGCTGGTCAACATTACCTAAACTGGAGTTTGCATCACAGCCACAAACTACTGCGTCGCTGATCCTCAAATCTCAACCCCAGAAATTCGGATTCAGTGTTTTTAGAGTGTGGCTTGAGAGTTTGCATGTTAAACAATCCCCACGGGTGGATGCAGGACATCCTTCGACTTCATTTGGAGAATCATTTCACTACTTCCCAGATCCTAGAGGGCACAAAATTTGCCATACCTTATCTTTCATCCCCAGCTGGAACTCTAAATTGAACATTGAACATAGAATAATGGCTTTATTAACATATAATGAAAAAAATTTAGTACTAGCAAAAGATTAAGTACTCAAATGCAGTGTAACATTTTTGTCTAATTAAGAGAGAACACCAAACCCTGTCAAAGAAAAATACACATTTTGGAGTCCACATCTTGCCTTGCAAAGTAAGACAAAAGCTTTGTGATTGAAGTAAGACAAACAAAGCAATAACAAAACCACTCCCAAAACACCTAGTCCCCAAAATAGAATCTGAAATTCTTAACTAGATTTAGAAATGTGACCAGTTATAGAAAGAGTGCTACGGAACAGAACTTTTTTTATGGAATCATTTTATAATATAGGTCTTCCAACTTCAAAGAATTGAAAACTATTACTTTTTTTTTTTTTTTTTTTTTTTTTTTTTTTGTCACAGGCAGAGTTAGACAGATTCTGTTGGTTCACTCCCCAAATGGCCGCTATGGCCGGTGCGCTACGGCCGGCACGCTGCGCCGATCCAAAGCCAGGAGCCAGGTGTTTCCTCCTGGTCTCCCATGTGGGTGCAGGGTCCAAGCACTTGGGCCATCCTCCACTGCCTTCCAGGGCCACAGCAGAGAGCTGGACTGGAAGAGGAGCAACTGGGACAGAATCCGGCGCCGGCCAGAAACTATTACTCTTAGACTACAGAATTATTTGCCTACCTAAACAAGGAAGAAACTATTTCATGGATATCTTATAATAGTGAGGATTCTTCCTCCTATGTTACAGTTATCAAACATAATTCTTAGTCTTGTCATTTTTTTTATTAAACCAGGCCCCCAAATGTCCCAATCCTTTTTGCCTTCTGATAGAATTGACCATCTTTTTTTTTTTTTTAATTCTTGTGCTTCATTTATTTATTTATACTCCACTCATTCCACAAAGGAATTGAGGTAATTTAACAGACAGCTTTTCTGGAGAGGATCAAATGGACAGTGTCTCTACTGCTCATTATGACAAGTCATTCTTGTTAGTGAGAGACAGGAAACTATTAAGATTGCCTTAAAATATATAGCCTTTAGTAGACCAAATGAAAAAAGCAACAACAGAAAATGGACTTTTTGTGTGAAACACATTCCCCCTATTTGGAAAACCATTCTCAGGCATAGGTCCATGATGGATTTGCTTGGGCAAAGCTTTGTATACTCTATCATTTTTACTGTTTATCGTAAAAGTTACAGGAATTGATTATAAGAGGAATAAAGAGCAACTAAAAGAAATATATTCTTATTTCTCTTGTTTCCAAAACAGTAACTAGGAAGGAAATCAAATCATACTTGACATTCTTTAGTAATATTAGGTAAGAAATAATAATAACAGATGAAACTTTAAATTTCAATCTCAAGGAGGTAGTAGCCTCCTTACCATTCTTCAAAAGAGGAGGCTAAACTCTGGGAATTTCATAATTTGTCTTCGCAAAGTAGATTTTCCAGCTGAAAGACGATACATATATATCCCTGTAACTGCAGCTCACTCACTTCTTCCTGTCCTTCAAAATTAGTCTTGGAGCACTGAATAAGTATTTGCCCACAGGCCTGGGTTTAAAAGGCTCTAAATGAGCGTTGAAGAAAGCAGTGAGCCAAAACACCCTTGACTTTCTCTTCTCTCTAATCTTCATTTTTGTTTGGTTTTCATAGGCTCATGGAAGAAAGATTATATTTCTGTTGAGGTATTTTTATTAGTTATCTATTGCTGCATAACAAAATTTAGCAGCTTCAAACACATAATCTCACATGGTTTCTGATGGTCAGAAATCCATCAGCACCTTAGCCAAATGGTTCTGCTTGGGGTCTCTCATGCGGCTGCAGGCTGACTGCAGGCTATAGGACGGCTCACAGCTGTCTGAATACTTGTCACGGCTGCAGGATCCGCTCTGAAGACGGCTCACCCACGAGACTGTTGGGCAAAAGCCTCAGTGCCTCACGACATGGACTTCTCTACAGGGCTGTGTGGCTGTCTGTAAGATAGGGTAACTGGCTTCTCCCAGAGCAAGTGATGCAAAAGATAGAGCAACCAATATAGATCTGTACTATAAAAAGTAAAGGACAGATTAAATAAAAGAAGCAATTGAAACCGCATTTACTTTTGCAGCTTAATCCATTACTTTTTTTTTTTTTTTTTTTTTTTGAGAGGCAGAGAGACATAGGCAGAGACAGAGAAAGATCCTATCCGCTGATTCACTCCCCAGATGCCCACAACAGCCAGGGCAGGGCTCAGCCAGGCTGACCCTAGGAATCAGGAATGAAATCCAGGTTCTCCCAGGTGGCTGGCGGGATTCAGTCTTTCAGGACTCAATCTGCTGCCCCCCAGCTTCAGTATTAGCACATGGCAGGAGTCGAAGCCAAGACTTGAACGCAGACTCTCTGACACGGGATATGGGTGTTCCAGCTGCTCAGCTGAACACCCGCCCCTTTTAACTTCTTTTTATTTATTTATTTTTTAGAAACACATTTTTTAAGATTTATTTATTTATTCAAAAGTCAGTTACACAGAGAGAGAAGGAGAGGCATAGAGAGAGAGGTTTTCCATCTGCTGGTTCACTCTCCAGATGGCTGCAAAAGCCGGAACTCCGCCGATCCGAAGCCAGGAGCCAGGAGCTTCTTCCCAGTCTCCCCTGTGGGTGCAGGGTCCCAAGGACTTAGGCCATCTTCTACTGCTTTCCCAGGCTATAGCAGAGAGCTGGTTTGGAAGTGGAGCAGCCGGGTCTCAAACCGGCGCCCATATGGGATGCCGGCACTGCAAGTGGCAGCTTTACTCACTATGCCACAGCGCCAGCCCCTTAAC